ATACAAAAATAATTAGTACATTTTGAAACCCAAGTATAAGTAATTTATATGAAAATACATCGGTTCAATTTAATTTTCGTCATCAATAGGAGTGATTAAGTACTCGGAAATCGTGTTTTGGTTCAAATTTTTTAAATAACTGTGGTATATTGGGGGTATATAATTAAGCAAGTCTATCATGTCTTTGTATTTTGCTGAAGAAACAGGACGAGATCCAGCGTATAACGGTTCCATTTCTATTTGTGAATAACGCCTAGGTCTTCCTCTTTTTGGTGACAAATCCAAAGTTAGAAATTCATCTTTTTCATCTAAAGTTAGTTTATAAAACATTTTATAGTCATCTGTTGGCGGGTCTGGAGGTATAATAGAGTATAATACCGAAAATAATTCAAAACAATACTTCACACAGACTTATCACACGTCTCTATTTCTTTTACAGTAAGCCTCGCAATTAATTTCCTGAGTACAGCGACTTACGCCACTTTCAAAATAAACATGTTTGTTATACCGTTAATTAGCAAAACTTCTCTCGAACAAATCTCAATAGTTCTCAACTTATTGATTACAAACTTTTTTTAAATGAAAAGATACCGTTAAATTGTAATTAGTGTTACCATTAACCTGATTTTTTTGAAAAAGTGACTTATGCTACTTTCAAAATAAACGTCTCATATATCGGAGATCCTTAACTTTCCCAATATCCGATTCTTATACAAATTTTCGAACTGTACGAGGTTGACACACACACGGTTGAATATTTTCGATGACTGTATTTTTATTAAATTGAATCTTATACGTCGATCTAATAGAACAGGAATCGGCTGACAGTAACAGCAGGTTATGTAAGGAGAGTTGGGTCTCCAGTCCCAAGGGCAAGGAATCATTCTTTGTGTAAACAGCGGAGTTGTAAACCATGTCCGGAAGGGACGTTTACGTTTACAGAATGGCTTGTTCAGCTGAGAAGCCGGACGAGGGTGGCCAGACTCTATTCATCTATTTTTCTCCTATCATTGGGGGTCCAGTCGTAAGAAAAGGGAACAATCGAGTCCACACGTTTCAGGTCCGCACGCTCGTAATACGACGCCTGAATGCGCGCGACCGTTTCTGGGCTTACGACCTGTTCTGCGCGACATCCAAAGCATTAAACTGCAAGATATACAATACACGGGGTATTATGAGCCAGTTATCAAGAGGTACCAACCAGCAGACGTGCGAGATGGCACGCACACGCTACCTCTCGCAATTGCCATTCTGATTTAGACGCGAATCAAACGATCAGTTACATTGTACATACATATATGTATAGTCCCCACCCCGTTCGAGATGAACGATCAGATGTAGAAGGGACGCATTCGTCTTTTTAGTCAGCCTCTGTTAACCGGCCCCGACGAATCAACTCGTTCTTTGCACTTGGTTTTCTGCTCCCCCCCCCGTACGTATGCTTGGCCGAACAGAGGCTTTCTAAAATAATAATAATTTTAACAATATAGGATAGCAATTCGTAATAACGTATATTCAGTTTTCAATCTTTAGTCGTCATACCAAGTATATGTAGCCGGCGCTATTCATTATTCGCACACGAAATCAGAACTTCCGAATTTCCGACACCAGTTTTCGGTTTCTTACGATAACAGATATCAACGCAATTTCGATGTTGGAGGGCGATAACATCACGTCACTAGCGGATTCAGATGACTCAATTGATTAATTGCTGTCTGACTTTTGCTGACGTCATGAAATGCTAGTCGACAAATGGCACGTGACGATTTTTAGGACGAAAGCGAAGACGTTCAAGCAAACAGAACGAAGACGAATTTGACGCGAACCAGATTTTAACGCACATTTGCGCGTCAACCATCCTGCTGACCGAGCGCCAGCCAGCCAGCCCAGCCTGAACCACTCCCGACCAGATGTTCCTCGGGATTACCGTCATTAAAATTCCATCGTGACTACCTGTCATTTCTGTCGAAACGGCAGGCCTACGGGGAAAGACGTTCGATTCCCAGACGACTCATGAATAATTCCGGAACTTTTTCCCTTCAAATTCCCTCGGGCCTCCGGAATTTTTGTTCTCTTAAATACATACATATGCACACGAACGGATTTTTGTAACTTGGCCGCTGATCAGAAATACAAATCTGAAAACACTTGAGAATGCAAAAGAAGGACGAGAAAGCGTACGTTCCCTCTATTCATTCTCGTTGACAGACTTATTTTTGTATCGTCACGTGTTGCCCGAAATAGACAAGTGCAAGTGTATAAATAAATATCCATTTGTGCACATGAGGAAANCGCTCCATGGACACGGTGAAAGCGAAGATCGACCTCGCCTTACACCTTTAAGGTTATTTTTATAACGTAACCGTTAACGGTGTCAAAGCATTTTCTAATTCAATTCTAATGTCTCGACATATTAACACAGTACGAGGAAACATATTGAGGTTAATACGTTCACGTAGGATGTAGGCGATCGCCTAATTATATTTAGTGTCATGTATATATGTATATATATATATATACATTATATACATATTTAGTGTCAGGTATATATGTGTATATATATGTATGACACTAAATATAATTAGGCGATCGCCTACATCCTACGTGAACGTATTAACCTCAATATGTTTCCTCGTACTGTGTTAATATGTCGAGACATTAGAATTGAATTAGAAAATGCTTTGACACCGTTAACGGTTACGTTATAAAAATAACCTTAAAGGTGTAAGGCGAGGTCGATCTTCGCTTTCACCGTGTCCATGGAGCGTTAGTTTTTATCGGCTGGGCATAATTAAGCGTCAGTGACG